CGCCATCCCAACTACCTTGGAGACCTCATCATGGCTCTGGCTTGGTCCTTACCCTGTGGTGAGTGGCCCACATGAATATGGGCAGGGACATGCGAGGAAAGAGGTGGCTCAGTGACCACAGGATGCCTAGTTTGGGTATGCATTGGTGAGAGAGCGCTGGGGATGGACCCAGTGTGTGGCTGGGGCACACCTCTCTGCCAACCTAGTACCGTTTGCCTTGCTGTAGACCCCGGAGCTTTCACTGCTGAGCCCTGATGCCCACATGAACCATTAGGGGTGGAAACGTTTGTGAACCGAGGGGTGGGGGTAGGGGGCTGGCAGGGTGGTCACAGACCCTCCCTCCCTGCAGGGGTGTCACACCTACTGCCCTACTTCTACCTCCTTTACTTCACCGCGCTGCTGGTACACCGTGAAGCCCGGGATGAGCGGCAGTGCCTGCAGAAGTACGGCCTAGCCTGGCAGGAATACTGCCGGCGTGTGCCTTACCGCATCATGCCCTACATCTACTGAAGCGGCTCCACCACCCCAGGTGGGGGCATGTGCCCACTCATCCACCAGCACACCCAGGACCAGGAGCCTGGGCACACTCGGGACTCAGGGGCTTGCACCCCACCCAGCCCTGAGGATGAACGGCCTTAGAGAAAAGGTGGTTTAGAGCAAGGAAAAAATGAAACAAGTGACCAAAATCGGAGATGTTCTTCCTCCTTTGGATAAACACTGGGAACCCTTGGTGCACTTCTCTGCCATTCTGGGGCTGGGTATTTAGGACTAGCTGGGTCAGCACTGATCAGGGAGAAGCTGAGCAATGGCTGGTGAGCCCAGTGGGTCAACAGCTGTCCCTCAAAAACATGCACTATCAACAGGGCTGACCAGTCACAGCTTTATTAATGACAAGGGTCCCCAGTTCAGCCAGGAAGCTCTTCGATGAGAGTCTTTGGGGCAGGTGGCACGGAGCCTCCCCAAAGCCGCTCCAGCTCCCCAGTGAGGGCAGCCACCTCCCGCGCTGCCACAACATGGGCTTGGTGAGCCCTGGCGCAGTCTAGAGCCAGCGTCGTGAGGGCCGCCTCATTTTCGTTGGTCCAGGCCAGGAGGAACTGGCACTTCTTCCGGGCCCGGTAAAGGTGATCTCGCTCTTCTCTAGCCACGGCCTGTTTCCGGGCACGGCCCAGGGTCTGTGCCAGGTGTCCCAGTGCTGCCAGCGTGTAGCCTTTCTGGTTGGCCGGGCCGTCGCCCAGCAGGATGCGGGCGACCTCGTGCATAGCCCCTCGTGTGCCCAGGGGCCCAGGCGGGTGCTCGCCCGCTTCCAGCACGTGGGCTGCGGCCTGCAGGGCTTCTTCCGCAGAGGCGAAGACTTGCTGGGCACCCAGGGCTCCGGAAACGCCGAGCAGTGTGGCACAGAAGTCAGAGAGCAGTGCGTCGTCACCGCCGTGATACAGGGCAAGAGTGTGCGCGTAGGCGAACAGCACGTTGGGCAGCTGGAAGCACACTAGCGGCGAGACTGGGCCGCGGCTCAGGCTGACGAGCGCGGGGATGCGGGTGGGCACGGCGGGCATAAAGGTCCCCGGGGCATGTCCAAGAACCCGCTCGGCGGCCACAGGCTCCGCGGCGGAGGCAACTTTCACGGATTCCCGCGGGGTCCTCGCGGGGGCGGGCTCCAACTCCGCGGCATCACCGCCCGAGGCATCATCCAGCTCCTCTAGGAGCGGCGGTACGGATTCGCGGTTCCACCACCATGGCCGCCATGGAGGCAGCAGCCGCCCGGCCTCACCGCGGCTCAGCAGCCGCTCGAAGGCTGCTTTTTCGGCCGGTGCCAGCCGCTCCCAGAGTCCCGAGGGGCCGCCGGGCGCCGCGCCGGGGCTGAGGCCTGCTTCCCCAGGCTCGTCCTCGGTTTCGCGTTGCTGACGCAGCCGGCGTAGGGCGCTCGCCAGGCGGCTGGGCGAGGAGCTGCGGCCGCGGAGCTCTCCCAGCACCTGGTCACGGTAGAAGTTTTCTGCACAGGTGCCATGCGTCCGGTAGCAGCGCAGAGAGCAGTACGGCGCATTACAGCGAGGGCAGGTGTAACGCGCGGGTTGGCCCTCCCCCGCCGGGCAGAAGTCACAAGGCCCGGCCGGCTCCATGGAAACTGGCACCACGACCTGCCTGCCAATGCAAGCCGGCGGTAATTCGAACTTCCGGGACTTCTCTGATTACTTCCGGTTCACCGCGGGGCAGACGGCGCGCTTCGATTCGCAAAGCTCCCAAGGATTCTCGGCAATTTCCGTCCACGCCCGGAAGCCGAACCCCACCCCTTTCCCAAGCAGGGCGAGGGCGGGCCCAAACACCGGGAGTCAGGTACAAGCCCCGCCCTGTACCGTGACGCAAGGAGCGGAAAAATGGGTCTGACCGGCGGTCCGCCGGTGCCACGCCGCCCCCTAGTGGTCACACCAAAACGTGGTCCGATAGTCTAAACAGAAAACCCTCTTTGGCACTATAATGCGCTGTGGCAGAAATCCGTATTTGCGAAGCACCTACCGTGGGCCACTTAATTGTGTCAAGCCCACGGGAGGTGATGCATCCCTGGGCTGGAGAAGCAGCCATTCCACTAGGGGACACAAAAAGGGCAGTTGGAGCCGGGCGCGGTGGCTCACTCCTGTAATCCCAGCACTTTGGGAGGCCGAGGCAGGTAGATCACCTGAGGTCAGGAGTTTGAGGCCAGCCTGACCAACACGAAGACACCCCGTCTTTACTAAAAATACAAACATTAGCTGGGCGTGGGGGGCGGGTGTCTGTAGTCCCACCTACTCAGGAGGCAGGGGAATCACTTTAACCCAGGAGGCTGAGGTTGCAGTTAGCCAAGATCGTGCCACCGCACTCCAGCCTGGGAGCCTGGGCCAGAGAAACTCCACCTCAAAAAAAAAAAAAAAAAAAAAAAAAAAGGCAGTTGGGGCCGCCTAGCCTACATAGCCCAGGTGTGTTTCCCCAGTTCGGCAGAAAACAATATTTAAGAAATATCTGAGCTCCTATTTTTTCCTCCAAACCCGCCTTTTCATGAAATACTACTATTCATCCATCTTTATTAAGTGCAGGCCCCATTCTAGGTGCTGAGAACACAACACAGATCAAAGGGAGTGGGGTGGGGGGGTCCCTGTCCTAATAGAGCTGTCTTGTGGCAGAGTGGGGTTGTGACACACCAAACTGTGAACGCGTTCTTTGCATTCCCACTACTACTGGTGGTCTAAGCCTTCTGCTGGATGACAATACATTAAGTGTTTTTCCTTTCTTGCCAGCCCGCCAAAAAAACCTGCCAGAGAAATCAGACCACATCCATCTCTTACTCAAAACCCTTCTGTGACCCTCCATTGCACTTGAACTCAAACCCAAACTCCTCTCCACGGCTAACAAGGTCTTGCAGGATCTGCTACCCATCCCTAGACATCACCTCTTCCCGTTTTCATACAGTCCTTTTGGCTTGAAACAGTCCACTGCCTGATCACTTGATTGGTTGGTTTTCTCACACGTGTCATTTAAATAGGCCCTCTAGGCTAGGCACAATGGCTGATGCCCATAATCTCAACACTTTGGGAAACCAAGGTGAGGGGGTTCAAGACCTAGTTCAAGACCAGCCTAGGCAACACAGCAAAACGCTGTCTCTACAAAATGTACAAATAGTTAGCCAGGTGTGGTGGTGCATACCTGTAGTCCTCAGCTACTTGGGAGGCTGAGGTGGGAGGATCACCCGAGCCCAGGAGTTGGAGGCTGCAGTAAGCCATGATTGTGCCACTGCACTCCAGCCTGAGTGACACTGAGACCTTGTCTCAAACAAAAACAAAACAAAAGAGGCCCTGCCTAGGATGCTATTGTTGTATCTGTCCATATCCTCCCACTTTCTAAACTGCTAGGAGGCAGAAGTCATGTCTTTAACACCACGGAGACAAAAATAGCCAATATTCACAAATTTACTATAAGCCAAATATTGATCTACATCCTTTATTTAATCCTCACAGCAGCTATGGAGATGATAGCAGAGATTAAATTAGTAGTTAGTTCAAAGGCCAGCCACCCAGTAAATGGAGCAGGAAAAAAAGAAGGTCCAAACTTAGGCAGTCAAACGTCCACAGCCCGCCGGGCGCGGTGGCTCAAGCCTGTAATCCCAGCACATTGGGAGGCCGAGGCGGGTGGATCACGAGGTCAAGAGATCGAGACCATCCCGGTCAACATGGTGAAACCCCGTCTCTACTAAAAATACAAAAAATTAGCTGGGCATGGTGGCGCGTGCCTGTAATCCCAGCTACTCAGGAGGCTGAGGCAGGAGAATCGCCTGAACCCAGGAGGCGGAGGTTGCGGTGAGCCGAGATCGCGCCATTGCACTCCAGCCTGGGTAACAAGAGCAAAACTCTGTCTCCAAAAAAAAAACGTCCACAGTCCAAGGGCTTTACCCTGTGGGTTGCTATTTTCTAAGATCTGGCAGGTCCAGAAACTTTAGCTGATTGAATGAGTAGGGTACAGAAGTGCTGGGAGACTCAGGTGCCAGAAGGGAACCCTGAATCAGCCCGAGAGGTACTCCACTTTTGGGAACACTGAAACACCACGATATCCAATCACAGATGTGATTAGGTTAGCAAAGGCCAGCCAACAGATACCTGATCACAGATGTGATTAGGTTAGCAAGGCCAGCCAGATTCCTGCCCTGGACTCTAAGGCCACAGCCAATCCCAAGTTCAGGGTATGGCCAGATTCATCTTCTATACAAACCTCTTCCCCCACCCCTCTCTTCCATTGCTGCCTCCATAACGAACCTCTCACAATTATTCCTGCTATCTTCTCTGTTTAGAAGATGAAGCGCCAGGATCTGTGGCTATTGCTTCTCCACAGGAAACTTTTCTGTAAAGGAATGCTAGTTTATCATTTCATCCCCCCATTATCAAGGGCCTCTGCCTTTCTGTTCCTCTAGGGGAAATACCATCAATCGGAGAAGCCACACCTGTCCCTGACGCCTAGCAAATAAAGATCAAACAATGCGATGACTGACCTAAGTGGCTTTTTTTTATTAGAGAAAGCCAGAATTACAAAGGACTTAAGAGTTGGCATTGGGGCCCTTCTTCTTGCCAAAGGTGGGCACAACGTTGACAAAGCGCCGGTTGTACTGCATCCGCCTCTTCGCCCGGCCTGTCTTCTTCTTCTTCTTCTCCTGTTTGGCCACCTGGAAAAGGGAGGGCCCTGGTTCCTGTATTCCTTGCCTGGCATCCCTTCCTCAGGCTCATCTCCAGGGAGGAGAAGGCAAACCCGGTAAGAGCCCAGGATCTTGGATTAGCTCTGACAGGAAAAGACAAAGTCCAAACACCACCACCGCTAATACACTCTCACTCACCTTAGGAGTCTGACCTCTCACTTTCCCAGCACGGGCCAGGGAACCATGGACTTTACCTGTAGTGGGAAAGGAAAACAGCAGCAGGTTAAGAGCAAGAAGGTGCCACCCAGCAGAACCCCCCTTTCCTCAATTCAAGCTTTTAAAGAGAAGCTGGGCCCAATAGGTAATGAAAACAAAGTTGCAGATATTTGATCTTGAAATCTGAAGTTTCATTTAAGGATTTTCCAGCTCCTAACTTTATAGAGCACTCTGGGGGCTCTGGTCTGACCTAATTTTAGTGAGGAAGCTTATAGCCAGACAAGGATCCTGTATGTGACTGAAATACAGCTTCAGTCTGGCTCAGTCTCGCATGGATGTCTGCGTTCAATCTGAGGCACGTAAACAGGAAGAATCACTGTGAACTGAGGATACAGGGAAGAACTCTGTATTACCATAGGTGCGACGACACTCAGCTACCAGGACCATGCCCCAACACCCAGAGACGCGTACAGGTAGTTCAAAAAACATTCCTCTCTCACTCACCTCCGAGCATTCGGCCTGCTACTTCCAGGGTGGTCAGGGCTTCCACTCCGCACTGGCCCAGGGTAGCCTCATCCTCCAGGGGCGTGCCTGCCAGGAGTACGACTTGATCTTCCGGGGCAATGCCCTCCAGTGAGGCTACATGAGCCTACGGGGAAAGATAAGGCTCGTAAGAGTTCCCTCGGCCCCCGAAGGTGAAGAGCACAAGAAAATGGAATCCAGGGCGCACCAAACAGCCCTACCTTAATCTGGGCGACCGTCTCCTGGCCAGTCACCTCGAGGGTGTGTAGCTCCTGGGCGCGGACGAAGAGCTGCATGTTGGCGACTGAGTAAAGAAAGACAGCTTGTAAGAGAAGCGAAGAAATGCTTTGGGACAAAGGAGGTTTGGGAATGGAAAGCGGCCCAGAAACGATCGCGACGGGATGGAGGTGGTCGCGGAGACACGTGGGGAAGGCCAGGCCTGCCAAGAAGTTCGGATAGGAAACTGCAGCAGAACCACAGAGCAGGTCCCGTTCTTCAGTTTACCCCGCTCCCTCTGACCCGGCAGCCAACTTGCTACTAAGCCCTTCGGATCCAGCCAAGGCCCTAGTCTTACCTGAACCGCGGTATCAGCTGCCGCTACCGTGAAGATGGAGTCGAGAAAGAGGAAGGAGCGAGGACGCGCACGTACAGATCACCGGCTGAGCGGCGCGTCACTGCTGAGCGACCGCGAGGAGCCCTGGTATTTGTACCGCCCAAGGCGGCACTAGCTCCGCCCCTTTATGCTGGCGCAGGCGTTTTTCCGTCCCAGGCAGCGCGCGCAGCAGGGGGCGGGACCAGACAGTTGCGCGCGCAGACGGCTGGCGTAGCGGGTCAAGATGGCAGCTACCAAGTTTTGGGGTCTGCTGCGGGGGTGGAGAACCGGCGTCCAGCGGAGCTGCGGGCTACGGCTGTTGGTGAGAGCGCTGAGCCTGGAGCTGAGGGCATCGCGTGTCTGAGGCTCATTGTTAACCATTGTAACTCTGAAAACTAAGGCATTCCTACTTGGGGCCTTAGTTTTGCCGTTTACGATCTGGAGAACTTGTCTCGAGTGTAGATATAGGAACGAGAGGGAAAGTGGCAGAGACTGGAGTGCTCTTTGGGAGCAGTGTGTGGGTTAGATTCTGGCTGCAGGACATCCCAAGTTAGTCAGGACTGAGAGGAGCTGCACATCGACTGTAGTGGCTGCCCGATTTTTCGAAGGCGAAATCACAGAGCAGGCGCTGGCACCAGATCATTGGCGACGCTTTTGGGAGCGCAGAACTGCTGATATTCAGCTACTTCATCCTACTTCCCTGCTGTTGTAACCCCAAGCCTGTCAGAACTTAAGGATATCTGTCCAAGAAGGATCCTTATGCTGGAGGATGGGAAGGCAGACTCCGGGCTGTGACCTTAAGTAGAGAGTTTACAATTATTTGTTAGTGTTGGCCTTTCCTGGCTGTAAAAAAAATACAGCCAGGTGTAACAAAATACCTAATCAAGCACGTTATTAGAATTAAGTGAAGGCCAGTGCCCGTAAAGCACTTAACACAGTGCCTGGCAATGTCTATATGAGGCCAAAGCTTTTCAGATAAGGGGCGGGGTCCTGGCATATGAGTGTGCGTGGGGAATTATGATTGCCTTAAGAATTAAGGCAATCATTAAATTAAACACTATATCCAATCACAGATGTGATTATGTTAGCAAGGCCAGCCAGGCAATCATGGAGGTACAAACAAGGCCACCCTGCCAATGTAATAATAATATTTATTTTGAAAACCGAGGCAGAAAATTAAGCCTTAAGTTTCTGAAGGCTTGATTGGCTTTTCAGAAGCGTACACACACTCTTGAATCCCAGAGATATCCTAAGAGAGGCAGACTGTTCACAGTACCTGAGCCTCCTTTCCATCCCATCTGTACCCTTCACCATGGAAAACTAAAGACCGGTGCTATCTTATGTCAACCTAAATAACAGACTCTAAATGAAAATGACATTTACTTGGGAATGGGTGTAGACTATGTGCTTATCAGGGAGGTAAAAGAAGACAAAGGTTTTTAAAGGAAACATGGGCCGGGCATGGTGGCTCTCACACCTGTAATCCCAGCGCTTTGGGAGGCCGAGGTGTGCAGATCACCTGAGGTCAGGAGTTCGAGACCAGTCTGACCAATATGATGAAACCCAGTCTCTACTTAAAATACAAAAATTAGCCAGGTGTGGTGGCAGGCACCTGTAATCCCAGCTACTCCAGAGGCTGAGGCAGGACAATCGCTTGAATCTGGGAGCAGGGTTGCAGTGAGCCGAGATCACACCACTGCACTCCAGCCTGGGTGGCAGAGTGAGACTCCATCTCAAATAAATAATAATAATAAAAATAAATAAAAGGAAAGCAAAATTGAGTGTTGTATAATTGTTTTGGGAAAAAAAAATGTTTTGAGATAGTTATCTTTGGCTACAAACATGAATAACAAGGGTAGTGCCAGTTCAAGATTGGACAGGCAGTTGAATAGATGTCCTTGCAGAATTTTTTTTTTTTTTTTGGAGAGAGAGTCTCACTCTCTTGCCCAGGCTGGAGTGCAGTGGTGCAGTCTCAGCTCACTGCAATCTTCACCCCCCTGGGTTCAAGCGATTCTCCTGCCTCAGCCTCCCTAGTAGCTGGGATTACAGGCATGCGCTACCACGCCAGGCTAATTTTTGTATTTTTAGTAGAGATGGGATTTGGCTATGTTGGCCATGCTGGTCTCGAAGTCCTGACCTCAGGTTTTGCCTGCCCCTGTCTCCCAAATTGCTGGGATTACAGGTGTGAGCCACTGTGCCCGGCAGAAATTTTTTTTTGTGTAAGGTTGTGGTGGCCTTTGGGCAAGGCTGTAGTGTTTCTGCAGTCTTTCGTGATAGTTCTTTTTAAGTATTTGTGCACAAGAACTCTCTTCATGGCCCTCCCTAGCTCTGTTGGGTTTTTAACCCAAGTGACTCTATTTTGATTCAGATAACTTTCACACAGATCACCCAGCCTTTTATTTCTGCCATCCTCTCTACCTGTAATGTTTCCATTCTCTACTTACTGAAGTTACACCATCCTGTGTTGGAAAGGCTAATGGAGAAATGGGTTTTTTGTTTTGCTTCAGAGCCAGACCCAGGGTCCTCCAGATTACCCCAGCTTTGTGGAGTCTGTGGATGAATACCAGTTTGTGGAGCGCCTTTTACCAGCTACCAGGATCCCAGTTCCCCCAAAGCATGAACGTTACCCTACACCTAGTGGTTGGCAGCCTCCCAGAGGTGAGCTGGGTGGTTAGGGATGGTTTGAAGGCTTCACGGAGCATCCTCCTCTCCAGAGGTTGGCCTCTCCCATGAGGTGCCAGATCTCCAGTGGGTTCAGAACTTGTTTTGACATCTCTCTGGGTTAAATCTCTCTCATGCCCAAGGAAGAGCCCTGTTTCACTGGTACTCATCCATCCACACTACTGGGACTGAGTCTTCTCCATATGGGGGAAAGTTTTCTCTCAACAGAGAAAACCCAAGAGCTTGGACCTTCTTTCCCCCTAGCAGACTGTGTACTGTAATTAAGAACACAGTTTGGAGTCAGGCAGTTCTGGGTTTGAATTTGGCTTTCTTTACTGTTGATGTTATCTTAGTCACTTAGCTTGACCCAACCTGTTTTAGCAAAATGGAGATAATCTGCTCAGTTCACAGAGCCCTTAGTGCAGAGCCCAGCATATGGTAGGTAAATCCTATGTTGTAGTGCTTGTAAATCCCAATCTCTTTATTCCAGAGATTGACTTCACCCTCCCCGACCCAGTGGAGAAGGGCAAGGATTGGCCCAGAGGGGGAACCCAAAGATTTGGGGAGGCATGTCCCTGACTTCATTTTTTCTTGAGCACCTACTTAGTGCCAGGCCCTATGTCGGGCCTTGGGGTACCAGGGTGAACAATTTGGTCCTGACTCCAAGCTTAAGGAAAGAGGAGACCCCCTGACCTGAAGTCTGGTGGTGGCTTGGTCCAGCTAGGTGTACTGTCTGCAGACTGAGGGGAACGGCCTTGGCTGAGGTGGGATGGTGCCTAGGAAGAGTTGATTTAACAGTCTTTCCCAGCCGGGCGCAGTGGCTCGTGCTGGGTAATCCCCACACTTTGGGAGGCCAAGGTGGGCGGATCACAAGGTTAGGAGTTCGAGACCAGCCTTTGTAACACGGCGAAACCCCGCCTCTACTAAAATAAAAAAAATTAGCTGGGTGTGGTGGTGGATGTCTGTAATCCCAGCTACTTGGGAGGCTGGGGTGAGAGAATTACTTGAGCCTGGGAGGCAGAGGTTGCAGTGAGCTGAGATTGTGCTACTGCACTCCAGCCTGGTTGACAGAGCAAGACTCATCTCCAAAAAAAATAAATAAATAAAATAAAAGTCTTTCCCTGTTGCAGACCCCCCACCCAACCTGCCCTACTTTGTACGACGCTCTCGGATGCACAACATCCCCGTCTACAAGGACATCACGCATGGCAACCGAGAGATGACTGTGATCCGGAAGGTGGAAGGGGACATCTGGGTAAGTGGGTGGCTGGGGCTGGAGCTGGGCCTGACCATTTCAGGGCTGAAGGGACAGGAGTCCTTTTGAGGAGAGGGACTCTTGGCCTACCTGATTTGCTGTCTTCCCCCAGGCCCTGCAGAAAGATGTGGAAGATTTTCTGAGCCCACTGCTGGGGAAGACACCCATCACCCAGGTCAATGAGGTGGCAGGTACCCTGCGGATCAAGGGCTACTTTGACCAAGAGCTTAAAGCCTGGCTCTTGGAGAAAGGGTTCTGAGGCCCAACCGAACAGCCTGCATGACGGCTTCCCCTGCAGATTGAGCCTAGGGGGCCGAGGGAGGTGGATATTGGAGCCCCTGGCACCACAGATACAGAAACTAGGGCTAAAGGACTTTGGGGTGAGGCCTTGCTTGCATAAAGGAGAAAACTGGAACCTATGTACATGCTGGGGGAAGAGTGCCTAACGCCAGAGACCAAATAGGAATAAACCAGGATTGTGGGGGGCATCAGCAGCTGTCTCTCCTACCTTGGCTTTTTTTTTTTTTTTTTTTTTTTTGGGAGAGTCTTGACTCTGTCGTCCAGGGTGGAGAGCAGTGCTGTGATCTTGGCTTGCTGCAACTTCCACCTGGTTCAAGCAATTCTCTTGCCTCAGCCTCCTGAGTAGCTGGGATTACAGATACCCGCCACCACACCCTGCTAGCTTTTTTAAGATGGAGTCGCTCTGTTGCCCAGGTTGGAGTACAATGGTGAAATCATGGCTCACTGCAACCTCTGCCTCCCAGGTTCAAAAAGTTCTGCTGCCTCAGCCTCCCAAGCATTGGGGATTTGTACCACCACACCCTGCTAATTTTTTGTTTTTAGTAGAGACAGGGTTTCACCACGTTAACCAGGCTGGTCTTGAACTCCTGACCTCAGGCAATCTGCCTGCCTCAGCCTCCCAAAGTGCTGGGATTACAGGCAGGAGCCACCGCACCCGGCCTAGTTTTCCTATTTTTAATAGAGATGGGGTTTCACCATGTTGGTCAGGCTGGTCTCTATCTCTTGACTTCGTGATCTGCCCACCTGGGCCACCCAAAGTGCTGGGATTATGGGCATGAGCCACTGTGCCCCGCACACCTTGGAGTGTTCTTTCCTTTTCTTGGGACTCCTTGGGCTCAGCAATTCAAATTCTAGTTGTTTTCTGGTGGAAGCAGTAGCCTAACCCAGTTTAGGGGAAGGTAGAACAGGGCAGAGCCACTGGGTACTTTTCCTTTCTCCAGAGATCACTGTTGCAGACATCCCCAGGCCTTTGCTGCAGGCCAGATCTTGCTTGATGCAGGCTATGGGGAACACAGCTGACTAGGGTATGGGTCTTGGAGATCTCCTGTTCCAAGTGCAGTGCTGACACTGGAGCAGAGTGCCGACATTAGCCCCGGGCTCCTTCTGAGAGAGAGAGAGGTGGTCTATTCTTTTTTGGTCCCTGTTCCATTGC